TGGGGCGGGCGTCCTGCGCGGCGCGCGCGGCGCTCGGGTCGTGTTCGCCAGTCAGAGGCGGAGCGCGGGCGCACACATGTGGGAGTGGGGGGGGGGGGGGGGGGGGGGGGGTGGGGGGGGGGGGGGGGGGGAGGGGGCGTCGCACGTTCTGGGGGTGCTGTCAACCGCGGCGCCGCGCGTGGCTTACTGTGGCAGCTGTGGCTGCGCTGGCGCTGGCGCACGGTGGCCGTCCCGGCGCGCCGCCCATCCTGCTTCGACCGCGCGAGTGCGACAGCGCAACAGCCGCACACGACACGGCCGCCTGAGTGGGCCGCGGCGCACCACGAGCAGGCAACGATCCGGGAGCCAACGACACGGGCCGCCTGGAGTGGGCGCGGCGCACCAACGAGCAGGACACGATCCGGGAAGGCGCTCCCGTCGAGCTGCTCTGCTGCCCCAGGAACTACGACGAGATCCAGTGGTGCGTAGGACGGGCCCGCACGCGCGGGCTCCCGCGCTCGCCCGCGCGATAACCCCGCGCCCGCGCCCCAAGCGAACCCGCGCCGCGCCTCGCCGCCGGCCTCGTTGCTCTCAATAAGTGAGAAAAGCATTTTGCACTAGTCAATGCGGGGCCGAGCTTGTCGCAGTTGTTCGCAACCCGCAGCCTAAACGTTGTAAGAGGCAAGATAATGTGTGGGTTGTGTGAGCATTTGCAACAGGTTGTGCATGTGTAATATATGTACTTTGTTTACGTGTGTGTGTGTGTGTGTGTGTGTGCGTGCGTGCGCGCGCGCGGGATTGCGTGCGAGCGAGACAGTGATTGAGAGAGCGAGCGTGCGAGCGAGAGAGAGAGGCAGAGAGACTGACTGACAGACAGACAGAGGGAGGTGGGAGAAGAAAAAAGAAATATTCACATGAAACATTTCTAATCAGAATAAAATTTTCCGCTGATACTACTGTTGGAAAATAAATTGGGAACTGTTGGAAAATATGATCTGTTCGAATTCAAATGTTCTCAATTGTTTCATAAAATTCTAGCTGAATGATCGTGGTAACATGATGCACTATTAGGGCAATGCGCGTGATTGCATGTAAATATTTACACGCTCTATCGAATGACAATCCACACAATGATCTCTTGTGATCATTGAATTGCAATCTCAGTTAATGCATCCTATGAATAATTTTTAAATAATTTTGGTCTGTTGTTTCAGTGATACTTGGAGCATGATCATAACCACTGGAACCTTTGTTTTGTAGTAAAAATGACAATTATATCTGAAATAATTGAAATGGTTTCCTACATCGCTTGTAATCATTTAAAACGCAATGATCTCAATGAATGCATCGAATAACATTCATTCAATGAATTATTCTTAAATACCGTAGATCTAGTTTAGTGGAGGAGCATAAAGATAATCACTGAAATCTTTGTATTATATTGAAAATAACATTTACATATATCTATAATAACTGTAATAGTTTTCCGCTGTGCATGATATTTACGATTCTTCATTTTTAAATTTGCTTGTTCTCCTATGACATCGGGAGTTGACAAAAATTAGGGAGGAAGATGACTTTCTTGAAGAATTAATCCACTATAATGTCAGTACTTAAAGTGCGTTCTCAGATTCTAATAGTGATTAAAATTTTACACTACATACTATTACTGAAACTAAACTCAATAGTTCGAAATATCACTCATAATTAATGTGATACAATGTTTAGTGAAAATGACTTTATATTAATGACGGTGGGTTATATTTGCTCTTATCTATTTGAATCCGGCGGCATTACATTACATGCTGACAATGTGTTTAACGAACTGGAAAATAAATCGTTAGAGTAATGACAAGTTCCGAAAGCAATTACAAGAGGGCATGTAAAAGAAATTGCATATCCACTTACATATATACTTACACAAAATGCCAGACTATTTGCAAATGAATTAATGAAGTTTGCAAGAGAACAAAACAAAACATACTAGCTGATTCTATGTTTGAGAAAATACATCTTACAAAGACTTTGTGTGCCGACAAAATAATTCAATTTCATTAAATCGCAGAAAATGCAGGACAATAGCCCAGAGCGGAGCAATTTTTAGAGAGTAAATACGTTTTCCAGAACGCAAAATTTGCAAAACTTCATCTGCTCTTTACCAAAAAACAATTTCAATCTGATAGAATATCTCATCCATGGGATTAAGTTCAGTAAATGTTGCGCTCTTAAAAACTTATTTACTCTCTAAAAATTGCTCTGCTTTGGGCTATTGCCCTGCATTCTCTTTGATTTAAGGAAATTGAATTACTTTGTCTTATCTTACTGTAAAATTACTTGAGAATTAACGATATTTGAATTAAATTACCTTAATTTAAACAACTGCGCTCTTGAAAACATTTTAGATCTACGCCAAACCACATACAACGACTAACAAACACATTATTTGTACAAGATAAATCACACATTCACCAAAATTATTCACATTTTCGTGTATCAGTTGGCTTCATGAGGATGGTGTGGCTTATTTTGTTATTACTACATGCCCTTCAAAGGAAAAACTATATTTTCTGTACATACTCAGAAAATACTGAGAACGGAGGTTATACAATCATCTGTGAATCTTGTCTAGATACAACATATCCAAAGGTAGTGATTAGGATACAAATTATAATACAGCCAGAATGCCGTTTCAATTTGTCTCAGATGAACAATTTCAACTTATAGTTTTCAAATGAATTGCTTTGATATTAACTTCCTATAATATCTTTTTACGATGTTTACCCTTGCAAACTTCATTATAAATTGTCGACTGGCTTCATCAAAAGCATTTTGTCTCTTTAATCACCAAAACATTATTTATTGAATTTTTCTTCAGTCATGAATTTACTATTTGTATTTCCTTTTGTTTAACTTCACGTTGCTGTAGTTTGCAATTTTTTATCGTTTGCAACCTTTGACAGTTGAATTCTTGGATAGCGCTTATCGAATGACTTGGGGAGAAAATAATAGATCCAGTCATTGAATTTTTTTTTCTTTTGGAGCTTATCAACTGTTCATTCAAATCGAATTTCCATTTTTTTAATGTTAATTCTTAATTAATACTTTTTAATTTAGATTTCTCTGAAACTGTTACTGCATTTAATTTCCATTCTTCTCTAACAATCAGTTTATGTATTTAAAACAGTTAAAAACCGTGTGTGACGTGCTACGGAGAGAAATGTAATCTGGGCACGTTTTCATAATTCTGGGATCCCTACCCTAAACCATACATAAGTTGAATTCTGAATACAGAAATGAGAGTTTTTGGCTAGAATTTTTAACAAAATATTCGCTCTAATGTAATATAATCTGTGTTAGTAATTTGTTAGTAAAATCCATGTGTGAGTAATAATTTCCATGCATTAGTAATTTCCACATGACAGTAATTTCCATGTGTCAGTAATTTGTAAAGAGTAATTAAAGACAACACATGCCTCAAGAGAGTAATTTATTCTTTAGACATTGAAAACCCTATTGCGCGTTGATTAATTAAATATAGCATTGTACTTGAATGACGACTCTCTATTTGTGACCCGAGTTCGTTTGCAAGTTCGAGTCCGTGGTGTCCTCGCGATTCTTCTGGGAATCATTGTCTTTCTCGGCGCTCTGCCAACAGAGGAGCAGAGATGTAATCGATGCATTTGCCGCGTCATGGGCACGGAAATATGGTTCATGTGATTCTCTGATTCTTAGAGTGAGTTTGTGTAGAAAAAATATAGAATTTCCATTGCTAGTAACAAGACCAGACACACCATCCTCAGGATGCCTCCATCTACTCGAAAATGGCTATACCTCGATTACGGTGAAATGTGACTTATCTTGTCACCACTTGTTTTAATATTACATACGTGAAGGACTTGTGATTGTAACAAGGTGAGACACTCTTCGATCAATATATTAACATTTCCGAATGGTAGGAAGCTTTCTGAGGCAGATATGAGTTACTTGTTACTGCGCCAAATCCTTCACGTTTCAGACCTTATCTATTTTTCCATTTTCGAAAATATGGGTCGTTTACATCCTCGGCTTTGGAATTTAGACCGGGAATGTTGAAATTATTCCCACTAAGGTAGGAAAAATATTTTTTCAATAATTTTAAATATTTAAAGCAGTATTTTTGATGAGTATCAATCTTTATTTCCGATCTGTCTTTCCGTAAATTCAACAGGCACTAAATTACTGTAACGCTGCTCTCCACTGTTAAGACTATTTACCACTGTTTTTTGCAACGGAAAGTGAATTATATCATTTGCTTTGTATGTTGGAAATCCCAAGTTCGGGTCACGAGAAGAACATATCCACTTAACGTGGCCCCTTGGTTGTCTCTTTTTAATCGCGATTTTTCATTAGATGCGCAATATCCGCGGAGTTGGGGTAGCGATGAGCTGCTGTTGTAATCTAACGTAGTAAAGGATGAGTGGCGGTGGAGACAGCTCCAAATGCAGCTGTCTCTGGGATGGCAACGAGTTGGATTTCCTCCTAAGTTGTTTTTCTCATCTCTTTAGTTCTTCGTATTCGAGATCGTGTTCTGAACCTCGTTGAAGTTTCAGTCTTAGTGTGTTTGTTTATGTACACATAAACATAAGAAAGAGGGTCTTTATTAATTCTGCAGTGTTCGTTTGAAAAAAATGATGAACTTCCTATTTCTTTGGGTCTTCTTTTATACTCGTCAATTATTTTTCCTTTTTCTTAAGCATGAAATCATTTCTTATTTTATGTGCATATCCACACGTCATATGTAAATATCACGTCAATAATCCCAGTAAGGACAGAAAAGTCATTTTCAAGTCGCTGACATGTAATGCGAAAAACATTATTTTTATTTTTTGTTTACATTTCAAGAATAAATTTCAGACCTTACACTTTACTCACAATACTACGATAAATTTCAAATTTTTAAAAGCAAACCTGTTATCAAAAATATGCTGCATTGCGCTATATTTGTAAAATATATAATTATTTAGAATTGAGACCACAGAAATAGTTTTTATTTAATAACAATAATCAAGGATTAAAATGAACTCAAAGTTTGCGCGCTTTAGTACAAATAATGAAAATATATGATGTGAATATGAAAGTATACATGTTAGATATTGTGATTAATAAAGTCGAAATAATATTTGTAGTATACTTAAAATATTATTAATTTATTTTTTATTTGGTCAAGTAATTCTAAGGTAAAATTTAAAATATTATTCAAAACTTAACGATACGATACGATAACTAAACGATTGACGAAGGGTACGAGACAATACGGCTACGATTGACTGCTACGTCTGCAATCTTCCAAAAAAGTTACATTCATGCAACATCGTGTACCTGGTGAGTTGAATGGATTTACAACTCGAATATCTCTTATGCTGGAGCAATTGCTGCTTGTCTTCAACAAAGAGGAAGACGGTCCAAGGACGCTGCGCTCGCTGCGTTTTGTTTCTTCTGCGT